GGCCTGTGGATGATGGGTGAAAAAAAACAAGCAATTATAAGGGGTGGTTTGAGGATTTATGGAAGAGAATTCTTCAGGTCTTTCAAAGGAAAAGAGCAGAAAAAAATGTGGAACTTACCCCTCCCAAGACACACGAAAAAGGAAGGGCAAGAAAATTTATTCATAATGCAGTAGTTGCTTTTGAAAGGGAGACTGACTTCTCCCCGCACTCACGCTGGTGCAACTTTAGTATCACGTAGTCCTGCCCCAGGCTGGTACCATAGCAGGGTACAGGAGAGTGGCAGGAAGAACCTGAGTTGGAGGTTCAGTGGTTCTGCTTCACAATGATGAATCTGAGATCAGGCTACAGGATGGCGGCTCAGACATTTCAAACGAGGGGTGTGGGTCAGCTGGACAAGGGACACTTCCACATGTGGTGGGACAAGGATGTTTGAGTTTCCTTATGAATTAAGCGGATTCCTTTTAGTTAACTGGGCTTGAGTCATCTGGAAAAGTCCCAGACCAGAACAACTGCTTGTCTGTGGGAAGAGTCTCTAGCACAAAGAGGATCAAGTGTGGTACAGAAAATAGGAGCTCAGGGGCATGAGGTCCATGGGCCTCTGGGATGGTCCTCAGGAGCACACCATCTGCGCCAAAAGAGAGAGCCAGCATTGGAATAGGTCTGGCCGCTGAGATTCAAATACCCAGAAAGAAGTTGGAAGAGTAATGGATGATGAGCAGGGATTTTACCCCTTTCCTCTTACTCTTCTTACCCTGGAGAAGCCAAAGGCAAATGCAAGAGAAGTTTGGGGGAGGGGGAGGAAAAGGTACTGCAAGTGGGAGAGTGTAACCTGCCTTCTCATTGTCATTGCTGGCTTCTCAGTAACGGACCTGGCCTGGAAGAAGCGAAGAAACTTCAAATTAGGCGACATGTTAAAATTCTAAATTCTACCAGTCAACTAATCTGAAACATAAAGACAACAGTGCATCCAAACTGGTGCATCCAAACGCAGCCTGAGGGATCACTTCTATGGTTTATCTTACAAGGGTACAAGTGAGTCTTTCTAAGAGTAGAATATAAACTTTTTAACACAATAACTAAGAAAATGACATAAAGCCTATGTTAACCAGTTTGATGAAAATATTTCAAATTGTATATGAAAACACCACACTGTATGCCATGATTGCATTAATGTACACAGCTATCATTTAATTAAAAAAAAAAAAAAACGCAACCTGCAGGCTGTGGGAGGGTTATGTGAGGACTCCCTTGTTTATCTGTGTTGGTGGATATCACAAAAATTATGCACAGAGCTCTTTTTTGCTCATACATGTTCATTAGTGTTTGTATTTAATGTGTGGCTTAAGACAGCTCTTCTTCCACATAGAGCAGAGAAGCCAAAAGGTTGAACACTCTCCTGGGGTATTGGATATTGTGGGGAACAAACAGAGGAAATTTCACAGTTGTTTGAGTGCAGTGGTGGAACAAAACTTATCTATTTTCCTAAATTGTACCCTACTAAATCTGGCTCTTTTAATTTGTACTAGCTAGTGACAAATTTAAACTTAAAAATATCTCCATTAGGCCAGGTATGGTGGCTCACACCTGTAATCACAGCACTCTGGGAGGTGGAGGTGAATTGCCTGACCTCCCAGATTCAAGACCAGCCTAAGCAAGAGTAAGATCCCCTCTCTAAAAATAGTCAGGCATTGTGGCGGGTGCCTGTAGTCCCAGCTACTCAGGAGGCTGAGGCAAGAGAATGAGCCCATGAGTTTGAGGCTGCTGTGAGCTATGACAACATAGCACTCTATCAAGGGTGACAGAGTGAGACTCTGTCTCAAAAAAAAATCCCATAAATTTGGGGGGGTTATGATATGATTTTTGAAAAAAACAATGGTGTGCTCTTGCCATCAGATAATCTCAGTTAAATTTTTAGAGTTTTTTGACCAATTTATATACAGTTTTATATAGAATGAGTTTTATTTTATGGAATCACTGGTTAATAGAAACAACTAAGTGAAATTCAGAATTATGAATAAATTCAAATTACCATAGCAATTTTGATTCATGACATAAGCAGTTTACTTATATTGTATAAACATACATAATTATTAATTTGGCTTGTTCAGTTAATGCCTAAATTTTGCCCAGTAGAAGACTGTGGTTGTGACCTTGTGTCTGTGTCCCAGGCCTTCCGTGGGCGCGATCTGTTCCTTTGGGCCTTGTAATCCAGCCTGTCCTAGTGTAAAAATGCTCTTGCAAATGTAATTGCAGAGTCAATACTAGTAAATATCTTTGTTGGACATAATATTTAGTTTAACAATATTCCACCTTCTTCATTGTTTTGGCCATTTAAAATTGTATTTTCTCATATATCAGCTAACACAAAACCCTATATTTTGCCAATATATTATACAAATTCATAGACAATACTTCTGGAATGTTTTAGCACTATAGTTTTATAGCTTTTGTGGATGAACACCTTTTACCCAGTTTTTTTATACAATCTTTTCAAAAATATAGTTCTTCACATATTCAGCAGTCTTCATAAGATTAGTAGCATTTTATTCACATTTTAGGATATTATTATCATTATTTAGATAATTATTTACTTTCTGATGCTTTTGGCTATTTGGAAATGAATTGTTTCCCTTTACTAATAATAGTAGGGAAACAATTGTCTTTAATAATGTTTTTATTGTTGTCGATCACCTTTAAACAATAGTTGTAATATACACATCCTGATGAATTATAAACTATCTTTCATATACTTCATTTCTATGCCCCTATCTTTTTTTTTCTTTCTATTTTTTTTTTTTAAGAGATAGTGTCTCATTGTATCACCATCAGTAGAGTGCTATGGTGTCACAGCTCACAGCAACCTCTAGCTCTTGGGCTTAGGCGATTCTCTTGCCTCAGCCTCCCAAGTAGCTGGGACTACAGGCACCCACCACAACACCCGGCTATATTTTTTTTCTTATTGCAGTTTGGCTGGGGCCAGGTTTGAACCCGCCACCCTTGGTATATGGGGCTGGTGTCCTACTCACTAAATTATCTTTTTAGTGCTTAAGCCACAGGCACTGCCCTTATCTTTTCTTTTATTCCTATTGGGATAAGAACTCTTTCCCATCAAATTAGGCATGAGTCCATTGAGAAGGGTTAATTTATTTAAGCAGGTATTAGAGAATGGTTTTGAAAAACAATACATGCTGATTTGTTCTGCTGGAACATAGCATCACTTTTTGAAAGCGTTCCTTACAGTCTCTCTAACGTTGCTACCTCCCTAGCCTTATGTCAGAAGTGTACAAATCACCTGTTCTCAAAGTGTAGTCCCCGGCGGCGCTGCGGCTCAAAGGAGTAGGGCGCAGGCCCTATATGCTGGAGGTAGCAGGTTCAAACCCAGCCCTGGCCAAAAACCACAAAAAACAAACAAACAAACAAACAAAAAAGTGTAGTCCCCTGAGCCACTGTGTCAACATCCTCAGGGGGTCAGTGGAAATGTAAATTATCTGGCTCCAAATACCAGCCCTACAGGCTGCAGGAGGCTTGCCAATCTGTTCTTTTTTTTTTTTTTTAGACAGAGCCTCAAGCTGTCCCCCTGGGTAGAGTGCCGTAGCATTACAGCTCACAGCAACCTCCAACTCCTGGGCTCAAGCGAGTCTCCTGCCTCCGCCTCCCAAGTAGCTGGGACCACAGGCGCCTGCCACAACGCCCGGCTATTTTTTGGTTGCAGCCGGCATTGTTGTTTGGCAGGTCCGGGATGGGGATTCGAACCCGCCACCTTAGGTGTACGTGGCTGGCGCCTTAGCCGGTTGAGCTATAGGTGCCGAGCCGCCAATCTGTTCTTAAACAAGTCCTCTGATAGTTCTGATGCGCACTAAAATCTGAAAACTAGTACTGCAGCCAATAAAAACCAAAAGCAGCTTCTCACATGTTAAAAGTAGCATGATCAGAGAGTGATTGAAAAGGCCTGCCTGATGGAATTGTTTCACACAGATACACATGTTTAAATATCATTTTACTGGAGCCAATTTTAACCAGTCCACTAGGAAATGGTCTTCCTACTAAAAACCATCACAAATTTTAGTAAAACAACATTTTATGCTGCCAAGAGAATAAAATAATTTATTCACGGGAAATGCAAAAAGTCCCCCTCTTAATTATAATGGGGTTCAATGAAGTATATAGGTAGGTAACTGGTTGTGCCACCCTCATCTCTACGTGCCTAGTTTTCTGCTGGATTAAATTAGTTCACTTTTTAACTGAATCTGAAATCCTTAGAATGTGAAACCAATTAGGAGAGAATGAATTTTGAATATTTAAAAATAATAGTTATTGGCATAGTTTTTTTTCAAAGAATGCAAGAACTAGCATCCAGAGTTGAGATTGGAGAGTGTTAAACTGTAACATGAAGGGTCTTTGTATTTCTACTTCTCTTACTAATGTCTGAAGTTCTGCAGAGGGCAGGCGTGACTATCTGTGATTAAAATATGCTGAATCTGATCATGATTATAATCTGTTTTCAGATACAACCTCAATTATCTTTTTAGTGCTTAAGTAGTTAGTGAGTCAGCCTGAGTGTGCATTAAATACGTCAGGTCACAAAGGTAAAAGTGAGTAAGGTCTTGCTTAGAGTAAATAAGGCATCCTCTCAGGAATTGTACCCATGATATCCACTTAGAATGTATGAAAAGGCAGACCAGAGGCCCAACTGGGGCAGACTCCACTTAGCTGTTGCTCTTACTTTTCCACTGTGCAATGTAACCATTTCTTCACCGCAGAGAATGTATGAAATAAAAGTTGCAGAATGAGTGAATGAACTAATAATTAAAAATACTTAAATAAACTGCTTTCTTGGTATACAAAATGGAAAGAGGTAGTGTTCTGTGATCTGTACTGGTATCACCAAGGGACATGATGATGCTTTCTGAGTTCCGTGGGTGCACAGATTGATGCAGTGTTGCTGTAAACAGGTGCACCTCTTTTTATTTAATTTTCTCCATTCTTTCTTTCTTTGTAGAACGATTCAATGTGTACCTTATGCCTACACCAAATCTGGATATTTATGGTGAATGTACAATGCAGATCACTCACGAGAACATCTATCTCTGGGATATCCACAATGCCAAGGTCAAACTGGTGATGTGGCCTCTCAGCTCACTGAGGAGATACGGTCGGGACTCCACCTGGTTCACATTTGAGTCAGGAAGGTAAGCGCTAACGCAGCAGCCAAGTGCAGGGATGTGTTAGACAGATTCCTGAAAGAGAGGGTCTGTCCATCGTTGCCTGGGATGACCCCTGATTTTATAAAGGGTGTAAAACTTACTAAATACATATTTTCTTCAGGTTCTCGTTGCTAATCAAGATAAAACTGTGTGGATTCCATGACATGTTGACTACCCCATTCAAAATAATTTCAGTCTCTTACGCTAGCATTAAACTAGTTTTGTAATTATGTTAATAGTGCAGTACAGGGTAATATTATTACAATATGATATTTCTGATATATACTTGGGCCATGGGAGTCCCATAAAATGAAATCTACCATATCCTGGCATTATTTTTGTGATTTTTTTATAAAAAAAAAATTTGTTAAAATTTTATATAGAATTATTTAAGTTTTGCCTTTTGGAAAATATGTTTTTTAATCAGACAATATAGCTGGAATGCATAACTGTGTGAAATGAATGCTTGCTTCACAATCTTATTCATACACGTGGATTTAGACATGAGCTACAACCAAATCAGTGTCTTTACACTATGACCCTTTGTGATAGTGTTGTCACACACTCAAGATAAGACCTGGGTTTAGGGGTTCTACATAAGAAAGAGGTGTTTAGGCATTCAGTCTTCACACAGGGGACGAGATTTATCACATTCTTAAGATGAAGATGGTCTTATAAGGTAATCATAGTGAGGTTTCTTGTACTTAATATAAAAATTTTAATTTTATAACTTTCTTCTTACAAAACTGTTAAATATTTATTCAAGATCAGCGTCTAATACTATCCATCTAGGGTAGGTCATATATCTCTTAAAACTTTTAAGAAGCAAAACAAAAGAAAACAAAACAACCCAGCCCTGAGCAGGATAATTTTACCAGTCTGGAGCCCTTTTGCACTAAAGTAATAGTAAAGTCTCACCACACTGAATTCTTTGAAGAGCCCTGGAGCCTGTGTTTCCTCAGTAGCGTTGAGCTCGTTCTGCTATTTCTGTCTGCCTACACATTGAGAGCACAATAGCAATCACACGCTGTTAACTATTGGTAAATAAAAATTCTTGTAAAAAAAAATGAATATTCAGGGCAGTGCCTGTGGCTCAAAGGAGTAGGGCGCTGGCCCCATATGCCGGAGGCGGCGGGTTCAAGCCCAGCTTCAGCCAAAAACTGAAAGAAAAAAAAATGAATATTTTTAGGCATGTATACTATTTTAATAAGTATGTGTATGAAAATGGTTGATATCTTTTAGATATTCACTGGCCTGAAACTATGATACATTTGTTAGTGGCCTGAAAGGTTAATTCAGTGCATATGAACTAACTCCTAACTCAGCTGTTCTTTTGTTAACCACTGAGCAACACCACTTCCAGGAGCCCCTTGCCTGGAGCTTTTCTGGAGCACCTATTTTTTTTTTTCAATGTACAGCAATTTAACTATTTTGTCTCTACCATCATTTCACTGAGGTTCTCCTCAAGCTCTTAAATAACATGTAGTTATTTTTTCCTGTAGCTATTATCCAGAATTTTAACTCCATTTATACCTGCCTACATTAATTTTTTAAGATCTTTTTATTTTGATAGACAAATTTGATATCTCCTTTTTTTTCTTTGTTTTCTTTTACATTCTTTGTCTTTGAGATTGAAGATTTCTCCTTTTGTACACAGTATATTTTTTCCCCTTCTCTGAATTTTGGGTGTCCTTGGCTTTGTAGTGATTGAGATATTGACTATAATTTTGTACACCTATTTTGTAACTTCAGATGCTCTCACTCTTGTTAACGAGAGCCAAGGCCAGAGGTGCTGTCCATGCTTGATCCAGAGAAATAAAAGTAGGATGTTGTGTTCCCTGGGTCTGAACTTGTTGTAGTGGTCCTGGCAGTGAGATTGGGGACCATTTAGAGCAGCCGTCCCCAACCTTTTTTGCATGACAAACTAGTCTCATGGAAGACAGTTTTTCCATGAACCAAGGGAGGGGGATGGTTTCAGGATGATTCATGCACATTACGGTTCTGCTTCAGATCATCAGGCATTAGATTCTCCTAAGTAGAACACAGCTTAGATCCCCACATGTGCAGTTTACAGTAGAACGTGCAACCTCTGAGAATCTGATGCCTCTGCAGAGCCGACAGGAGGCAGAGCTCTGGAGGTGATGGGAGCCGTGGGGAGCAGCTGTAAATACAGATGAAGCTTCACCTGTCTACCACTCACCTCCTGCTATGCTGCCCACTTTCTAACAAGCCAGGGCCATGACCAGTACCATCCTGTGGCCCGATGGATTGGGGACTGCAGATTTAGAGGGCAGATGGGTGGTGAGGCATGGCCAGTTATCATATCAAACCTGAGCCAAAGACCTGTACTTTCTGGATTTTATTTTATTAGCTCGTTGCTAACAAGGTATATCATTAGGTATAAATTTAAGCCATTTATTTATATTCCTGTGTGCACTGAAAGTAACACAATTGGATGCGTTGAAATACACTTTTCTCACTGGCAGACTTTTTCAAGGGCAAATTCTAGTGTGTTGCTAAAACATAGCAATGAATAGTAGGAGTGGATCTAGATCATTTATTCTAGAGGAACATACCTCAGTATGATGTAATGATGTATCGTTAAGTCTCTGGCAGCACACGCCAGTCAGTGCAAGGACAGAGGGAGAGTAAGGACCAAAAGGCTTTCAATGGACTTGTCCTCAGCAGGGCGTTGCACTGGGAGATGAATTCATAGTCTCACATTATTAGCTCAGAGCAATTGTTTGCTGTTTTACGGTAATGATCACAACTTTGCATTTTAAGAGTAAATAACAACCTAGTTGCCATGCCAGCTTATTTTCTCAAAAAAAAAAAAACAAAAAATCACAAAAGATACCAGATCTGCAGAGGAAGTAATAGAATTCAGGATTATGGGCAATGTTATTCTGTGAAAGACAAAAACTACTTTTTAAACTGCTGATGTGGCATTTTCACGTCATATTACCTTATAAATATTGTAAGCAAAAATCAAGGTGTTTTCAAACACGGGTATGATAAAATTTAAGTGAGCTCCCGAGTTCTTTTTTATAAAATTATTGTTCAAAAAATAATCATCCATATTCAGCGTAATGCTTGATTTTACAAAACTGGTGTTTAAAATATATGCCTGTTAACTTTAATAATATTGCTTCTATTTAGAAGCCTAGGGAAAACTTGTTCACAGATTTTATGAATTTTTAACAATTGGCAGTGTAAAGTAATGCTTAAGTATTACAGTGGAGTTCCTATGGGAGGATGGTTGACGGAGGCAAAGGCTACATGTTGTATAATTAATTAAGGAATCCAGGATGTCCTAAACCTTTTTTGGTCAGGGATACAAAGACAAAGCCTCTCTTCTCCAAATTGTAACCAAATCATTAAGAAAAAGGCAAAATAGAAAGGTCTTAAATATGTTACAAAAGCACAAAAAATACATAATACACAATATGCCCAATACATAAGAAAAATACACATACATTATATTATAGAAGGTATAAAGACTACGTCAGCCAAGGAACTTCTCAAACATTCCCAATACAGAATCTAATTCTTCTGAATCAACCTGGAGTTATCAATGCCTTGAATTATTATTTTTCCACAAAACACTGTTTTACTTGCCATCAAGAGTATGGTGGTACACATTTCACAAAAGAATGTGTTGCTGTGAATCTAAGATGTTCCTTTGAACCCTTAATGCCTGGCCCTCTCTGGCAAATATTATGCTGTTTGGTGCACACTCTGGCCCCATCTACCAGAGGGGTCTCTTGCAGGTTTTTAGACAGTAAGCAAAACTCATTGTTCCCTTCTCAAATGCTCCTAAAACGTTTCTCAACTGAAACATTGAAGAGCTGCTATTAATTAAACTAAAATATAATTAAACCCAAGACATGAGCCCCCAATATTGCACATAACTTTAATTAAAGTGCAGAAAATGTGGGTGAGTCCACATAGGCAGTACAGTAGCAGCCATGTCACTGCCTTCACCCGACAGCGAACATTGGATGATACTGTTCAACAGACATCATGAATAGTAACAAAATATACCCAATTTCAGAAATACTAAAATGTATAAATATCTGTATCTGTTGAATGAAGCAGCTAATCGATGAATGCTTGCACTGTTCTAATAAAGCCAGCTGGGAGTGGTCTCATGAGAGACAAGAGTATCGGCACGGAAGTGGTGAGTGTTCACCAATCACAGGGGGGTGAAACCGGAACTGCACATCTCTCTCCATTGATTCCAGAAATCATTCCTGTTATTAAAACTTAGGAACTTTCTGAAGGAGAATTAAAAAGACTAAAAGATCAGAACTGTCATTGTGATCTCTAGAGAGGGATAGACCAATTAGTGAAAAGTGATTGACATTGAAGTATGTGTGGGTTCAACCAAACATATTGAACTTTAAAGTTAATTGAGCAAGAACTAAGATCAGAGCCTCCGTCTCTTGATAAGAAGAGTTTCCTAACTTGTTTAATTAATGCTTTATCCCAGGGAAAAATTAGTCCTAGTATTATCATAGCAAGAGATTTTCCAAATTAGACACAGGAAAGAATTGACACTAAGTTCCTTTTTTTTTTTTTTTTGGCGGGGGCTGGGTTTGAACCCACCACCTCTGGCATATGGGGCCGGTGCCCTACTCCTTTGAGCCACAGGTGCTGCCCGGCACTAAGTTCTTAGCATTATTTTTTTTTCTCTTGGGAATTAAAGGAAGAGTTTGCATGGACAAATGATTTTCTAACATCACATACATCCCTGATGCAAATTTTCATGGAGGTCTTTCCTATGTCCTATGCCATGTAATTAAAATTCTATTCAACATTATTAATTAAATATTTTTGTGGCATCAAAAACACGTTTTTATTCATTTGTCAAAGACTACAAAGAGAAATAGAGAAATAAAGATGGGTAACGCATAATCCTGGCCCTTCATGAGCTCATGGGGAGGCAAATCAGTGAGTGATTACAATGCAATATAACAGCTGTA